AGGGGTGGGGCTTGGGGCAGGGGCGGGGCCACCGGCTCTAGAGGTGGAGTTCCTTCTCCTTAGCTCCCTGCTGAGTGACCCAAGGCCTGTCCCTCCTCCCTGGCCGCAGCATCCTCATTTGGCTAATGGGACCGCGGTAACACGCACACCTTGCCCAGTCATGCTCTCGATGGGGTCAAAGGGCCAAGGTCGGGATTATGCCTCTAAGTGGCCTTCGATCAGGACAAGACACTCAGAAAGGGTTTGCTCCCTTCAGATGGGGTGTGCAGGGAGCTGGTATGTTTGCCCAGTGGCTCAGGGTATAATTATTGGGCGCCCACTGTGTGCACAGCTCTGTGTGAGCTCCTGGGAGCTCTTGAGACCACCCGTAGTGGCAGAGAGGTGGCCCCTGTCCCCGCCTCCTCCCTGTGCCTGGCCTCAGGGCTGGGGGGGGGGGCACAGCACCTCTCTCCCCCTGGATACCAGCCGGGCTCAGAAGGTACAGGCTTGTGGCAAAGCAGGGCTCCCTGGGGCTCAGAGGAAAGGGATGCCTGACAAGGTGACCTTGTTAAGGACTCCTGAGCAAGATGCTGAGAGGTGCAGAGGGGACAGGAAAGGTGTCCACTGGGAGGGAACAGAAGGCATGGAGCCACAGAGGAAGGTACCCTTGCGCTCATTGCAGGAGGCAGAGTGGCACTGTCCCCTCCCAGGGCCCACAGTGCTTCTGCAGACCCAGGGCAGCGTCACACACTGCCCCGGGTTGGAGCACAGGGTCACCAGGGCTGGCTGGGGGCGCGGGGGCCCAGCTCCCTGGCTCGAGGTGTAGGGGATTGCCTGGGGGTCGGGCGGCGTCCACTGCAGGCTCACGGACTCTTCCCCGCAAGCCTGGCGCAGTGGCTCTGGGCAGCCCTGTGTGGACACAGGGACTCGGGGTGGGTGACTTTGGGTGTGTGGGACAGAGATGGAGCTGTGAGAGTCGGGGGTCCCGGAAGCCCTGTCAGAGAAGAGGGAAGAGGAGAGGCACGCTTACTAAGAGCTTTACTCCCTCCCCGCTACCCCATTCTGCAGATGAGAAAACCGAGGCTCAGGAAGGTTCAGGATCCCGTCTGATGTCACTAATCAGGAAGGGTGAGGCCAGGACTCCATCACAGTGACAAAGACAGAGACGCTTGCAGAGAGAGAGAGAGATGGACACAGAGCACGTGGGAGGGAGTCAGGACAGACGGAGGGGGCACCTGAGGGCCAGAGATGGGGGAGGAAGCAGAGGGGAGGGGTTTGGGCCTTTGAAGTTCTTCCTGCTCAGCTCCCCCCAGGTGGCCTCTGGCAGGCAGCAGGTGACCCAAGGGGAGCAGGGCCTGGTTTTCCACTCAGCCAGAAGCCGGAGAGACAGACCCAGGGAGGGCACAGGAGACTGGGGGGTCCCAGGCTTGTCCTTTCCTTTGGATTGCAAAAGCCCTGTCACTGTCTCCAGAGGGGACCCCCACTCCGGAGGCTGGTGTAGGATGTCCGTCTCTGTCTGTCCGTCTGTCTCTCTCTCACACACACCTATCAGGAAATATCCCCGAGCTCTGCACGATGACAGACCGAGTCCCCGAGACCTGCCCCCACCCACGTGCCAGTCCTGGGGTGAGAAGCACCCGTGCCATGGCTAGGATCGTCACCCACACCCACTTCACACAGGAGAACGGAGGTGGGGACTGAGTGCCTCTCTGGGGGACGACAGCCGGGAGGCCAGAGTGGTTCCTGAGCCTGCAGGTCACTCTCTAAAGCAAGACACTGGGAAGGAGTGGGGCTGGGCCCTGTGGCCGTCCTGAGGGAGGGAACCGCGGGCCTTGGTGAGGGGCGCTTGGAGCAGTGGGCGCCAATGTGCAGGGACAGTGGGGACAGGGTATGGGGACAAGATGCCCATTTAGGCCATGGTGCATTTAGCCCTGCTCACCCCGGTCCCCAGGATGCCCAGAGCAGAGGCCTGGCTGCGAGGGGACCTGATGGGGACCCCACAGTGAGGTCTGCAGGAGCCTGGGCACGTGGAGACGGTGTCTGGCTCCTCATGGGACAGCTAGAGGAACAGACCCTCTGGGAGGCCCGAGGCGGGGGGAGGGCTGGGGCCTGCACCCCTGGGAAGGGAGGGTGGGGCGGGAAGCACAGTTGAGCGCACTGGCCAAGCCACCCTCCCAGCCACCCCGGGAAGGAGGCGTGAGGACCCCAGCCCATGCCCAAGGTCACGCTCCCGGGGTGGCAAGGACTCTATCCCAGACCTGTCCAGCCAAAGCTGGCACTTGGCCCCAGCCCTGGCCATACCCCTTCAAGGCTGTCCTCCCCCCCAGAACATAGCTGGGAACCCCAAGGTGAAGACCCGGGGCCTGAGCTGGGCCGGACCCCCCATTTCCACCAACCCCAGGAGACGCTGCTGTTTGGCACAGTTCTGCCCTGGGACCCCGGTCAGGGTGGCGCCTCCCCAAGTAGATGTCAGACCCTCTGCCTGCAGCGCCACTGGAACAACCCAGGGTCGGCACAGAAGGACCTGGGTTCGAGCCCCAGCTGCCTTTCTTTCAGCCAATGGATTTTGCTCCGTCTGGCCTCAGTTTCCCCATCTGTAAAATAGCCCGGGTTTCCGCAAGGCCCCGGGATGCAGATAGACGTGAAGGTCCTGGCCACGTCCCCAGGGCAGGCTACACAGGGTCAGCCTGACTCAACCGGCCGAGCAGGCACCTAAGTGGCACCACAGTGGGTGAGACACAGGTGACGTGGGACTCTGGAGCCGTCCTCCCCAGGTACACGAGGTGCCATCAGGTGACATCTGACGTTAAGAGGGTGGCAGGCAGCTGAAGTCTGGGAATGCAAAGGGCTGGAGGTGAGACCTCAGGTGGGCGAGGCAGGCTGGCTGCTGCTCCTGCCGCGGGGTCACAGATGGCAGGGAAAATGAGGACATTCAGACAGCATCGCTCCCTCAGCCTCCCCCATGCTCAGCCTCACCTGCTGCCTCCTCCAGGCTGAGCACTGAGTGACTCTAGCGGTCTCAGTTTCTCCTCATGTAGAATAGAAGGGCTTATAACCCCTGGTGTCCAGAACGTGCTCAATAAATAGCGATGGCGGCGGGGGCGGGTGTCTATATGACCTCAGGTTCCCTTGGGAACCTAATATTCACCATCCAATTAACCTTGGTATTAATATTAGCAGCAGCCCAGTCATGCTCATGCCCCCTGCTGTGGGCCACACACTCAATCCTCGTGGTGTCCTATGAGACAGGAACAAGGATTCTCCACATTTCACAGATGACAAACAGGCTCAGAGAGGTTAAGCCAGTGGCTCAAGGAAGCCCAGAGTAGGATCCAGAGCCTGAGTTACTAACTACTACTCATATGGCCCGTTGGCTTCACCCACTGCCAGAGAATGTGCTCCCTGTTGGTGTCTAGGAACCCCCTGCCAACCACTCAGAGAGCTTTGTGAGGTCCCCCTCTTGCCATCAGAGATCCCCTCTTCTCCTCTCCGGGACTAAGAGCAGCGAGGGCAATGGGGAGCTACAGCAGGTTGTAGGGGGTGGGCTCGGCCACACCGGGAGGCTGGCTGGCCGGGGGCCAGGAGGGAGGGTGCGTGTGGCCAGTCGCCTCCTGCTGCGGCGCAGCGGGCCCAGCCCCTCCACCTCTCCCCGTGGTCTCCGAGGACCGGGGGGGACAGATGGCATTGCCCAGGACGGGGCCGTGGCTGTCACTCAGTCCGATGAGTTACCAGCAGGCTGAAGGGTCGGCAGCCGGGGGGCCTCAGAGACAACAGCCTGGAGACCCCAGGACAATGGGGGCCACGTGCCACAGGGCAACAGTCGTTTGTCACACAATGGGCCACCGGGGGACAGCAGCCGGGCCAACTGCTGCCCTGACACGGGCCAGCTGAGTTTTCAAACCGCTTCTGGGCTGTGTTTCCCTTCGAGGCAGCCAATCGCGGGGGCAGCGGGCGGTCACCTGATGCCAGCTCCGTGGGCCCAGGGCCCAGGTCCTGTGACAACTGAGAAGCGGTGTCCATGGCAACTCTGATCGTGGCCCCAAAACACAAGGGAAGGAGGGGAGCCGGGGAGGGCGCGAGCCGGAGGCCCCGCAGATGAGGGACGGGCCACCGGGTGCCCCAGGAAACCGCGGCTGTGCTGCCACCTGGCCCCGCCCGCCGCACCCTGGGCCCCGACACGGGGCCTTGGAGACTTGGAGCCGAGAGTGGGGGCTGTGAGCTCCTTGGGCACAAAGGAGGCCGCCCCTGGCCGTGTGGGTGCCACACACGGTGGCGTCTGGTCAGGGCTGAGTGCCACCGTGTCACAGTGCAGAAAAATGCCATCCTGACGCCTGGTGCTCAGTGAGCCTCGAGGACAGGGTTGCGGGGTCACCAGGGAGCCACGTTCCCAGCTGGGGGGCCCGCCTGGCACTGGGGGGGCCTCTTCCCCCCGGGAAAGCCAGGTGGAGGGGTGGCGGGCAGGTCCCAGCCCCACCAGGTCCTGTGGAACCTGGAGCGAGTGGCTCAGTGCTCCCACTCCGTGTCCCCATGTGTCACGTGGGACCACAGCCTGAGTGTCCCTTGTCCAAAACATTTGGGACCAGAGTGTTTCAGATTCTGGATTTTTTTTTATTTTTGGAATGTGAGCCTCCACACGATGAGGTTCTTGTGGGGGGACCCCAGTCACACACGGGTCACGGTGACCTTCCTCGATGCCATAGAGCACCTGCCTTTGACCCCACCAGTGAACTGAGGGCTGGAGTTTTGCATCCGCGTGTCCCAAAGGTGCCCCGCAGGACTCTGGACTCTCAGAATTCCAGTTGGTGTCTTGGGGACACCCAGCTGGTCTTAATAATGACCCGCCCTGGGCAACACAGGGTTTCACACCCAGGGAGGGACCAAATTGCCCCCCCCCCATGTCACTCCTCGGGGACTAGGTGCTGGCAGGGGTCCGGCGGGCGGAGGGAGCAGGGACAGCAATGTGGCTTCCAGACAGGGTCCTGGGCTGGGGTCCCATGCCAGCCCCAAGGACGCACAGGCTGCACGGGAGTGGCTTGGGGACGGGGGCTGAGGGGCCTCCCGAGGTGGAGAAGCCCCAGGCACTGGCCACGGCTCCCCTCCCGCCCAAGCTCCCCTCCTCCCACAGGCTCCTGCCTTCTGCCAATGACGAGGACCTCCCAGGGGACCTGCAGTCACTCTCGTGGCTCACGGCTGTGGACGTGCCTCGGCTGCAGCAGATGGCGAGTGGCCGCATGGACCTGGGTGGCCCCAGTGTGCCACATCCACACCCAGGTAGGCTCCAGGGGGGACAAGGCAAGGCGGCAGAGGGGAGGGGGCTCCCTGCCCCGCTGTGTGGCCACGGACAAGTCAGTCCACCTCTCTGGGCTGAGTCCATCTTCCTCCGAGGGAAGATTCGCCCTTTACCTACCATGTGCCAGGCCCAGGGTGAGCTGAGGTTCCCTGTCGCTCGCTCCCTTGAATGACCGGTCCATCACACCTGTCGCTCGCTCCCTTGAATGACAGGTCCATCTTCCCAAACTAATGCAGCCGACAACCTATTTTTGCAAACACTAAAAATGGCCTTATGTTTCTCTGTCCAAAAACAAAGAAGACAGAGACCAGATGGCTGGCAGAGCCAAAAATATTTGCTGTCCAGTCCTTTACAGGAACTCTACCACCCCAATGTTCTAGAAGATTCCAAGGGAATCCTGACACACAATTAGGTACTCCATAAGTGACAGCTAATGGCAATTATAGCAAATGAATCCAGTGCTTTAAAGACACAATGGCCAAAAGCAGCTGCCACGGAACATTGAAGACACCCAGAGTGGCAGAGTCAGCATTGGGGATCCTTTCTTTCATGGAAGAAATTATTCTCGATTAAAACATGTACATCCGGGTCTGCAAGCTTTCTCTGTAAAGGGTCCAGAAATACGTAATTTAGGCCTTGTTGGTCACACAGTCTCTGTCAAAACCACTGGACTCTGCCATGTACCCCAAACCAGCCATGGATGGTATTTGAACGGATAGGTGGGGCCATGTGTTAATAAAACTTTATTTACACACCAGCCTGTGGGCCGCCTTTGGCCTGCTGATTAGGGTCCGTTTCCTAATCCTCATGTAGGACCCCAGGGGACAGTGGTGTGCTCTTGGGCAAGTGCTCTCCTCTCCGATCTGTTTCTTCACCTACAGTGACAATGTTCTAGAACGGCCCCCAGGGCTAGCTCCATCTTGGAAGTCAGCTGTGCTTGATTAGAGGTGGCTGCCCCAAGTCAGGCTGGTGCAGTGAGGATCGGAGATGGATTAGCAATGTCTGCCCTGGGCCCGGCCCCGGGGGAGGCTCTACCAGTGCCAACCCTTGGCAGAAGAGCAGGGCTTGGCAAAGGGAGGAAAGGCAAGAAGGTCTGGATCTCAACCTAGAGGTCCCGGGTGCCATGGGATGAACAAGAAATCGGTGTTCGAGTTTAAGGAGGGTATTAAAGCCTCCTCCTCGTTGTTATTTACTGTTGACTTACACTCACTGGTAAATATTATCTCATTTAACCCCCACAGCAACTTCATAGGTAGTAACAGGTAACACCAGGGGCTCGAGTACAAATAGGGAAACTGAGGCTGGCCCCAGGTTACACAGCTGGCGGGAACCCCACTTTTCACCACTACGCCCCAGCAAAGTGATTAGCCAAGCGTCTACCATGTGCCCGGTCCTGAGGGTGAGGGATGGCTCTGTCCACCATCCCTCCAGCACGGGGCTTTCTCTCGGCTTGCCTCCTACAGGAGCCTTGGCTGGGGCAGCCGACCTGCACGTGGGAGCCACCCCAGGCCCCCTGCTCCACGGCCCACCGGGCATGGCGCCCCGAGGCATGCTGGGCCTGGGCCCCCTGTCCAGCCACGGAGCCAGTGTAAGTGGCGAGTGTGGGTCGGCGAGTGCGAGGGCTGCCCCAGGGCTGCCCGGTCCACCTTGACCCTCTGTCTTCTCCTCTCCTGGCCCCAGCAGATGAGCCAGTTCCCCGTGGGGGGCCAGCCACCCTCTGGCCTGCAGGACCCCTCGCAGCTGTACTCACCGGGGACCCAGCCACAGTTCCCGCTCCCCCCGGGAGCCCAGCAGGTAGCCCTGGACCCAGAGGCAGAGGACCCTGCCTCCGGCCAGCCAGGGACCTCCCTGAGCCTCAGTTGACTCACCAGGCACGTGGGGATAACTGTCCCCCCACGACCGCGTGGCCCCTGGGAACTCCCGTGGGTGGGGGGGAGACCCGTGGTTTCTGCGGTCACGGGCCCAGGGACGGGTGGGCGGTCTCGTGTGGCGCTGCACCTTCTCATCCCCTCTCTCTCTCTGCTGCGGGAAGTGCCTTCCTGTGGGCCTCTACGGCCCCCCGTTGGGGGCACGGCCCTCGTACCCCCAGGCCCACATGGCAGTGCATGCACCGCAGGAGCAGCTGCACCCCAAGCACTACCCCAAGCCCATCTACTCCTACAGGTGAGGCCCGGGTGGCACCGGTGGAGAGGGCTGAGGGCTGCCCCGGGATGGCGCAGACAGCTGGACACAGTGGCCCAGACTTCCCATGTGGAATCTGTTCTCAGGAATGACCACAGATTGTCAGTCAAGCCCCGGGGTTGAGAACCCACGGACATTCCATCACTCCTAGGCTGTGTGACCTTGGGAAAGTAGCATTGGCTCTCTGAACCTAGGTGTCCTCAAATGCAGAAAGTTATCAGAATACTAGGTGATGGTGAGGGCGGGGGAAGCACCTAGGTAAAGGGTGGAGGCCCACAGACACCAGTTATGGAGACAGGGAGGGTAAAGGTTGTCCTTAGATCAATACCAATGGCTAAACCCAGGGTCAAGCAGAAGGACATGGGGTAGGAAAGATACTGGGCCATGAAAAGGGCTAACAGTGAGTGTGCAGGGGCTGGTCAAGCAGGGGAGGCTTCCTGGCAGAGGAGACCTGGGGCTGTTGGCCTGGGAGCCCTCACGGCCACCCTGTCCCGTCTCTCGGCCCAGCTGTCTGATCGCCATGGCCCTCAAGAACAGCAAGACGGGCAGCCTGCCGGTGAGCGAGATCTACAGCTTCATGAAGGAGCACTTCCCCTACTTCAAGGTGAGGCTTCCAACCAGGGACGGGGACAGGAGCCACCCAGCCTCCCCTGTCACCACCAAATCCAGGGCCGGCTCTAGATTAAACCGGGCCCTGGTCTTGGGCCCCCTGGTCTGTGTACCCGGCCGTGGGGACACATGCACACAGACCCACCCAGAAGCATTTTAAAAGAGAAGGGGGCATTTGAACTGGGCTCTGATGGATGAAGAGGAGTTCGCCTACCTCTCAGGAAGGAGAGGGTAGAGGTGGAGGTCCCAGCCTCCATCTTCAGCACAGACTCCTTGAAACATCACGTGCAGAACACAGACCAGGCAAGAGCCTTCACCTCTGTGAACCTCAGTATCTTCATCTACTGACGAGCCATTGGCTACCCCATTCATGATGGAGAGAAAGACAGGAAGCCACGGCCGCCCTGGGCTGCGGCTCACGTCCTCTCCGTTAGCCGGGCTCCGCTGTGGCTCCCCCTTCCCCGGGGCAGGAGCTCTCCTCTTGCCGCAGTCCCCACCACTCCCTCTCGCCTCCCCACCTGGAGGCTGAGCATCGAGTGCTGTCCCGTTGCCTGGGCTCCCGCCGCATCCCGCCCGGGGGACCTGAGTCTGTGACCACCGAGGGAGGCAGGGGTCCACAGGCAGGTCCCCCGAGTGCCCACATCTCCCTGCAGACGGCTCCGGACGGCTGGAAGAACTCGGTGCGGCACAACCTGTCCCTGAACAAGTGCTTCGAGAAGGTGGAGAACAAGATGAGCGGCTCCTCCCGCAAGGGCTGCCTGTGGGCGCTGAACCTGGCCCGCATCGACAAGATGGAGGAGGAGATGCACAAGTGGAAGAGGAAAGACCTCGCCGCCATCCACCGGAGCATGGCCAACCCCGGTGAGCCCCGACGGCCCGGTCCTGTTTCAGCCTCCTGGGCCTCACCCTCCCGGCCTCTCCCCCCAGTGCAGGGCGGTCCTAGGGCAACAGGCCTGTGCTGACAGGAGATGGCATGACTGATGGCACCTCTCACTCCTCGGTGGCACTGTTGTGAGTGTCATTACAGCTCCACAGCCACCCTGTGTGTAGCATGGGATGCCATCGCACAGATGAGGAGACAGAGGTTCAGAGAGTCCCAGAGACTGGCTAAGCTCCCTCAGGGGGTAGCACGGGGACCTGGCTCCAGGCCTGGGCTGGGGGCTGGTCCCTGCAGGGTGGGCTCGGAGTCATGGCTCCCTCCTGTTTGCAGAGGAGCTGGACAAGCTGATCTCAGACCGGCCGGAGAGCTGCCGGCGACCCGGCAGAGCGGGGGAGCCCGAGACCCCCGTGCTGACTCACGCTACCTCGGTGGCCGTGGCCCACAGCTGCCTGGCCATCTCCCAGCTCCCCCCGCAGCCCCTGATGACCCTGTCCCTGCAGGCCGTCCCCCTGCACCACCAGGTCCAGCCCCAGGCCCACCTGGCCCCCGACTCCCCGGCTCCGGCCCAGACCCCGCCCTTGCACGCCCTGCCCGACCCCAGCCCCGGCCCCCTCCCGCAGCCCGCCATGGGCAGGACCCCCGTGGACTTCGTCAACATCAGCACCGACATGAACCCCGAGGTGGATGCCCTGGACCCCAGCATCATGGACTTTGCCCTGCAGGGTGAGGCCCGGGAGTGGGGGACCGTGGGGGCGGGGCTGGGGACAGCAGGACAAGGCCAGCCGGGCTGTGCTCTGGGTGGCCATGGCGACCACCCAGTACCCGCACATGAAGCAGTGAGTGGGCACCTACCGTGTGCTGGGTCCTGGACCACGCACTTCACGGGCTTCACCCTGCGCCCCCTCTAGTGGCCCTCCCAGGTCATCGCCATTTCCTGTCCCCATTCTGCCCCGTGCGGGAGCAAGGAGAAGTCAACTCACTGGCCCAAGCTCGTCCCTCAGCCAGGGGGTGCCACCCCCGGTCCGTCAGGCCCCAGACGAGCCGTCAGTAACTGCCCACCTGGCTGTGTCCACCCCAGGGCAGGTCACACTGACCCCTGCCAGCCACGGGGTCCCCCTCAATAAATGGGCTACGGATAAAGAAAGAGCAGCCTGCGGTCCCCCGTCCATCCAGATACCCGGAGGCAGGCACCCGCCTGTGTGGCCCTGGGCTCAGACACCTGTGCCCTGGCCCTGGACAGCTGCACGGTTCTGCTGCTGAAGAAAAGGGGACACCTGGTTTTGTCTTCCTGGCTTTGACCATGAGCCCCTTGGCGTCTGGCCACAGCCTCAGAAGTCGGTTTTCTGGTCACCTCCATTTGACTCTGAGGCTCAGAGACAGAAGTGACTTTCCCAAAGACACACAGCAGGAAGAGGGTTTCCCCAGCACATGACCCTGCCCACGCGCACAGCCTGGCCCCTTCCCCAAGTCAGACAGGGACTGCAGCTCGGGCCTGTGGGGCGGGAAGCCAGCTCAGCCCTGTGCTTTTGTCTCTGAAAGGGAACCTGTGGGACGAGATGAAGGACGAGGGCTTCAGCCTGGACGCTCTGGGGGCTTTTGCTGACTCCCCGCTCGGCTGTGACCTGGGGGCCTCCGGCCTGACCCCTGTCTCTGGTGGCAACGACCAGTCCTTCCCTGACGTGCAGGTGACGGGTCTCTACACCGCGTACGCCACCCCGGACAGTGTGGCCTCGGCGACGGCCGCCTCCCAGTACCTGGGTGGCCCAGGGCACAAGCCCATAGCTCTGCCCTGAGCCGGCCGACGGCCTCAGTGGCCCCCCAGCCCCCAGCAGCTGGCTTGGGCAGGGGACCATGTGGACTGGGGTGTCCCAGAGACAGGCCCCTCGCCTCCCACCGGCCCCTCCAGAGCTTCCCACCAGGTGGCTGGCCGGGAGGGGAACCCGTTCCTGCCACTGGAAGTCCCTGCGGCCAAGGACAGTGGACACGCAGCCTGGCCTCCCCTGCTCCTCGGGGGCCTGGACCCCCAGGCCTGGCCTCGTTGAACACTCTCCTGGGGAGGGCCCCCCGGTGACCGGCAGCCTGCTTTGGGACCCACCAGTGCACCAGGGCCACACTCAGGCCCTCCACCTGCTGTGGTCACAAGAAGGCCGAGCAGCCCAGAGCCTCAGCCTGGGGAGGCCAGAGGCCAGGAGGGGCCTGGGAGCTCAGAACATCTCTGGGATGAAGCAGCCTGGACTCTGGGGGGCCGCAGCCCACTTCCCCCGGAGCAGGCCACCACTCCACAGACAGCCTGGGCCCTGAGTAGGTTTATTTATATTTATTGTGGCCTCCTCCACCCCAGCAAACCCAGCCCCAGGCCTCCGGGATGAGACTCCTCCATCCCTCCCGGGTCCCCGGCCCCCCCAGCCTCTAAATGACCAGCGAGTCACATCTAACTGGCTTGTCCTCCTCGGCAGCCGCGGGCTTCTTTTTAGGACAAACAAGCACTTTTGATCGTGTGAGGCATCCTGGTTTGAACCGTAGGGACACTGATATTCTCACTGTCATGAACCTCTTCCTGTGGGCACCTGAGAGGAGAGGTGCCATGGTTTGGGGGCCTGGGGACTTTTTAGGGACCCATGGAGCTGCGATGGGCGGATGGAGCAGGGAGCTCTGTGCCCGGGGCTAAGACCCCCATTGGAGAGACAGATAGCTGTCCCCGGGGGGAAGTGTGGCCCGGGCAGCCAGCGCCACCCAGAGCACGAATCGTCACCCACTTGCCCAGTTCTTTGTCCCCCGGGCATTTCTTTTCCTCATTGTCAACGACTGATTCTCCACGTGGCAGGCTCTGTGGGCAGCAGGGTTAGCAGGGGTTTGGGGACAGCTCTGCCAACTGCGGCCGAAACTGGGGCAGCAGCAGGGACCCCCCCCTCCACCCTCGGTGTTTAGAGGCCACATCCTCGAGCCCCCAAGCCCTAGGGCCAGAACGTTCTGACTCGCCAGCCGTCCCGGGCTTTGCCAGTCACTCCTGTCTTAAGGGCCGCTGTAAGTCCTCTCTAGTTCTGGAACTTTCTGCCAAGCCTCGCCAGCTTGAGGCAGCCCAGCGCCGCCCCCCTGACCGGCCCACTCAGCTGCCGCGTGCGTCCCTAAGTTGAGATGTTTCAACTGTCACTGGTGAAGACCCGGGTGGGGGCAGCGCGGGGACTCTGTAGCGATGGTGTCGAGGACCTGTCTTCTGTCAATAAAGGCTGAACGGCAGCTCTGTGGCTCTGGGGGAGGAGGACGGGGACATGACGTACCCACGGCACCAAAGGCACCAGGTTCCGTGGATCCTGGGCCCCCGGGAGGTGTGGTCACCCCCCTCGGCGCAGCCTGCGTCCCCCACCCCCTCCCTGCCCTCAACACGGATCGTGGACGCCAATCCCCAAAGCAGAGGTCCGGACGTGGTGGGTGGGAACGAGCGTGGTCCTGTCGGTGGAGAGCAGGGGACAGAGCTCAGCTGCGCTCTCCCAGCTGCCCCCTGAGCGTGTGGGGGGGTTGGGGCAGATGCGCTGGGGGAGGCAGACGGCAGCCCGGCCTGGGCCGGCACAGCGAGCTCATCCACTCTTGGTGCCCCTGGGGGGACTGATCAGCTACGGCACCCACTTTGGAGATGACGACCGAGGCTCAGAG